AAGTTTATTTTTAAGAGAGACAGAGAGAAACAGAATGGAAGCCCCAAGCACCCTCAGGAGGGTCTTATACCATGATTGCTTCCCACCTCCTGCCTTTTAGCCACCAGGATCATGGGCATGTGCTTTTGTCTGGCATGTACAGACGGACCAAGGAGTCAAACTCCAGTCTCCTATATGTCTCCCAGCATTGCAGAATGCTGTGCTATTCCTGCATTACCACAGCTGGGCCAAGAGAGTAGCTGCTAAGCATTTTCAACACACAAAAAATCATTAAGTATGTGGGATAACTAGCTTGATTTTGCCGTCCTACAATGTGTACCTATATCAAAATGTCATGTTGTACAGAATAAATATGTACAATTTTTGTCAGTTAAAAACTAAAATAAAGTAAGAGGAATAACCTTCCTCCAAAGATCAGAGAGTGAAATTGTATGAAAGCCATAAGTTGATTTTTCACCAGAAGCAATTTTCCTTATTGGAGAGGATAGATGAAGACAATCACTACATATTATATAGGATAGAGAAAAAAATATTAAGGTTTTTCAGAATTATATCATAAAGTCTGAGGTCCCAAAGTGCTGGCATATTCGAGGAGGACTTCATAAATTACATGAAAAATGAATATTATGAGAAAACCATGTATGGATTTCAGAATTATTTTGCACCAAATAAACTTATACTTTAATATTTTTCCCCCACATTTTGGAGTACTTGCTATCTCATTCTCTCAGAACTACCATTAAAAAAACCCAAAACTCTGCTCTTTCCTACTATACATGATGGCAGGCGATAAAGCTGCAAAGCAGGATACTAAGGAGAAGAAACCTGAAGCCAAGAAGGCTGATGCCAGTGGCAAGGTTAAAAAGGGTGACCCCAAGTCTAAAAAGCCCAAGAAGGGGAAGCCCCATTGCAGCCAAAACCCCGTCCTAGTCCGGGGCATTGGCAGATACACCCGGTCTGCCATGTATTCCAGGAAGGCCATGTGCAAGAGGAAATACTCGGCCACTAAATCCAGGATCGAAAAGAAGAAGGTTCTTGCGACTGTCACAAAACCGGTTGGTGGAGACAAGAATGGTGGTACCCGGGTGGTTAAACTGCACAAAATGCCTAGGTATTATCCTACTGAAGATGTGCCTCGAAAGCTGTTGAGCCACGGCAAAATACCCTTCAGTCAGCATGTGAGAAAGCTGCGAGCTAGCATCACTCCTGGGACCATTCTGATCATCCTCACTGGATACCACAGAGGCATGCGAGTGGTTTTCCTGAAGCAGCTGAGCAGTGGCTTGCTACTTGTAACTGGATCACTGGTTCTCAATCGCGTTCCACTGCGTAGAACACACCAGAAATTTGTCATTGCCACCTCCACGAAAATTGATATTAGCAAAATAAAAATCCCAAAGCACCTTACCGATGCTTACTTCAAGAAAAAGAAACTGCGGAAACCCAGACACCAGGAAGGTGAGATCTTCAACACAAAGAAGGAGAAATACGAGATTTCAGAGCAGCGCAAGATTGATCAGAAAGGTGTGGATTCGCAAATTTTACCAAAAATCAAAGCTCTTCCTCAGCTCCAGGGCTACCTGCGATCCATGTTTACCCTTACAAATGGAGTTTATCCTCACAAATTGGTGTTCCAGATTTTTTTTGCCAAGAACCTAATTAACTGATCATATATATATATAAAACCCCAAACTCTCAACTTTTTTTGTTGTAATTTTGTTTTAATTGTGTTGAGAAAAGTTATTTTACTGTGTCTATTTGCATGAGAGTTATGTCTTTCTAAAAATCAGTGAAAGATCAGGACCAGCAGTTAGTGTAATGGCTATGTCGCTGGACTCCCACGTAGTTGACTGCGGTTCGAGTCCCGGACCTGGTGGCTTAAACTCACGCCGGGTGCGTGTGTGTGCATGCCCAAGATCCCAAGAGGAGAATGGAGGAGAAGGGATTGCGGCGTGGCCATCCCCCCTGGGGAATGATTTCTCACTTTCTATCTCTCTGTCTCTGTCTGTCTGGCGAGCGCACGCGTCCTATAGCAAAAACCTCTCAAAAAAAAAATCAGTGAAAGATCAATACTTTAAAATATTTTGTAATATGTCAGTGGTGGTATGGTAATGGTGATATGCTGACAATTGATAATTGAATAAGATAAAACTTAAATCTGTTATAGTGACCTAATATTACACTTAGGTGATTCAAGTTTTCCTATAGCAGATCTGTACCTATGGTATTATTTGCCTTGGAATGAATGTATCAGGGGTTTGGTTGATTAATGAATCTGTAGTATGGGATGCTGTTAGATCTTATTTTTCCTAGTAGAGTCTGAGGACCGTCACCAGCCCCAGCATCAGCACCAGAATCATCAGCATCTGCAAGGTTGTTAGATGTACAATCTGGGCCAGCTTCTAGAATACTCCATCAGAACCTTCATTTCAACAGATTATTTAGATGATATGTCTGTACAGTAACGTTTGAAAAGCCCTCCTATAGAAGACATAAGACTTGACATTGGACAAAGAACAAATAGTTCTTTACTCAAGGTTGCAAGAAAATAAAGATTTGGACATTATTAGAAAAGTAAAACAAATATTCACCTTAATAATATATTTAGCTTTAGGAATATTCATCTTTTCTAGAGTGAAATGTTTTTAATGCATTTCTGTATACTTGAAACTTAGGCACTTACCATGAGAAGAACTGTGATGTTCTGGGATATGGCCATGTGGATCCATTGGCAAGACATCACCCAACTGAAGTTAAAAGAACTTAGCTATATAGCACTCATTTAAACTAATGTAGTTTTTCTACTGTCACAGTATATTGGTATATTTTTAAAAAGTTACAATTTAGAATAAGAAATGCCAGTATCCAGAGATAAGTACACTTTCCTAATAGACTTCCTACTAGTAGATAACAAGTCTATTAGGAGACATGAAGTCTGTTAGAAGACATGAAAACAGTTGGTTTGCTTTGCAAAAGTGACCCAGAAACCTTGGAGGTAGCAGATAGCTGCCCACGGTCACTAAATGTGAAATACCTTAAATGTATATAACATGAGACAAGACAGAAACACAAAGGTGCCTCACAGGAATTTGTCGTGGTATACTCTACTTCTGATTTTAAATTTACTCTAAGAAGAAATCTTTTGCTTGCATTTTGCTTTCAATATTTGAAACCCTCCTTCAGTGAGTGGGGCACAGTTTGAAAACCAGTGCTCTAGCTTAAGAACACTATCATGACTTCTTTTTGGAAAACTCATGATGCATTTTTGCGTAGAAAGACATAGAAAAATATGTTAAGACTTTTCTGTCGACCCAATATTAACCTAAAGATGTACATTTACCTTTCTTTTTAATGCATAAGAATTTTTTTCTTTTCATTAAACTTCTTTCCCACCTCCCTTAATTCTGACCTTGATCCAGTAGTGTATCCACCTGTGTCTTATTCAGATGACCCAGAAACCTTGGAGGTAGCAAACAGCTGCCCGTAGTCACTAAATGTAAAAGTCCTTAAATGTGTGGGACCTGAGACAAAACAGAAGCACAAAAGTGCCTCCCAGAAACATCTGGTTATCTGCATATCATTGTCAAGCATATTATTGACATAGCAGAGAAAGGAGCTTGCCATAGCATTTCTCACAAGCAAGGAATTGTAAGAGAAAATGATAATGGGGGTCCAGTTCCGTAGTGCAATTGGTAATGTTCTGCTCAGGAGAAGCTGGATCTCGTGTGGCAATGCCAGTTTTAATCCCCAGCCTGGTTGGCCTGAAACATGCTGGGCACATGCATATGTATCCCATGGCTGAAGGACTGGAGGAAGGGGATTGCAGTGTGATCAGACCCTGTGAAGGTGTCCCTCCCTCTGTCTTACTCTTTTCCACATGTATGTGCACGTGCACATAGTTTATCATGAATAAAGAAAAGGAAAATGCTAGCTTAGTACACTTCAACCTTATAAATGCCATTCTCTTAATTTATTGTGCTGAATGTATTACTTACTTTTAGAAGTTTGTCTATAAAATACATTTAAAAAATCTGCCAGAAGGTGTGTGTGCTTGTCAGGAAGAGACAGAGAAATGGGGAAAGGGAGAAAGCATCTGTCGGTGGGGCATAGTAGTGCCACAGTCCTTTTTCCTCCATTTATTCATCCTGTCAGGATTTGGGGCACACATACACACGTCCCTGGCATGTTTTTAAAACCAGGCCTAGGATCTGAACTGTGCTCTCAGCAATGTGGGATTTGACTCCCTTACCTACTAGGCCACAGGGGCCAGCAGCCTTGTAGGTAATAACTAAAAACTAAAACCAAAAAAACTAACAGTGTCATTTATTTGATTACTATACCATAAACTGTTTTCTCTACAAATTCTCAATCATAAACTTCATTCTTGAATAAGGAGGTAATGCTATATACTATAATTTATATATATTTTTATCCATTAGAAAGGTATGAAGGTATGTTTGTCTTATTAGAGAAAAACAGGAAAACAGTATTAGATAAAAGCAGTAAGACATCTTTTGTTTGGATTTTTCTTTGGAAAGTACATTTTGACTTAAACAGGATTTTTATGACAAATTGATACTACATCAGTAGTTTTAGAAGATGGCTTGAGACCAGCAGTTAGCATAATGGCTATGTCGCTGGACTCCCATGTAGTCGACTGTGGTTCGAGTCCCGGACTTGGGGCTTAAACTCATGCCGGGTGCGTGTGCATGTGTGCCTAAGATCCTGAGAGGAGAATGGAGGAGAAGGGATTGCGGTGTGGCCATCCCCCCTGGGGGGTGATTTCTCGCTTTCTGTCTCTCTGTCTTTCTGGTGCGTGTATGCATCCTATAGCAAAAACCTCTCCAAGAAAAAAAAAAAAAAGCGAAGATGGCTCAGTGCTCCACTAGAAGATTAGTTTAGATTTTATTATGTCACGATTGTACTGAAAAATGCCATAAAGTCTTATCAGATCATCCCAGGCCATGCCTACTGAATATCACAACACTTCTGCTCTGCAGGAAAATGACTCAGGCACTTTGGACACGGTGGGCGCTGTGGTTGTGGACCACGAAGGGAATGTTGCTGCTGCTGTCTCCAGTGGAGGCTTGGCCTTGAAACATCCAGGGAGAGTGGGGCAGGTAAGTGATTATGTTTCTTTTTTGTTATTTTTTTTAAATTCCCAGAGGATGAATGCGCTCATGAGAGAGAGAGATAGAGATAGATAGAGAGAGAGAGAGGGAGAGAGAGAGAGAGAGAGAGAG